GGTTTCTTAATTTAATCAAAAAGGTGTTAATCTATCTATTATACCAAACTTTGCGAATAGTATTTATTTTGTAATCTTCAATTTACGAATATATAATTGTAATTATAACAAGTAATAATTTTTATCAGCGGAAGTTTATTTAGTTACAACTCAACATTTATTTTTAATAATAGATAGGAACTTTCCATACATATTTTATAGGGAATGTACCAAAATCCAACTGATTAATAACTGCTAAAATCATTTTTATTATGCATACATTATTATACAATATTATACATCAAATATACTAAATTTGTATTTCCATGGATCACGTTTTTTATTATAATTAATTTGTCTTTTTTACTAGATGAAATTGTTTCCAGTGCAGGTGTGATCAGGCTCGTTCGGACGTGGCCTCCTCATCTTTGCCACCTAATTGAATCGGCTGTGAGTAAGGCCACCGGCGAGGGAACTGCATTTGGTACAGTTTCCGTCCTGCGGTTGCTGGTCTGTATCTCTATTTTTTGGTTTATTTATATGCAGGCCACGCCCCCCACTGCCCTCGTGGCATTCATGTTCAGCTGAGCAGTCACCCCTGAGCAGTCACCCCCTGAGCAGCTCCTCCCCTTTCGCACTTATTAATAAACCAAAAACCAGGCAAAACCAAAGGCGTCACTGGGGCGCGTTGTGCCCTGCATAAAAACCGGGCTAAAACGGATACTTGGAAGCCGAGACATAAATAAACTGCAGCTAATTTGAATGCAACGGCCTTGAGACCGCCCCCTGAAAGACAATTGCAACAATTTGCATTGTGGCAGGCGGGGCAGGGCAAGGCTAGGATTCTTTCGATGTCCTGAGATCGCTGCAGCCAGAGGTCAGAGCTCGAAGCAATTTGGAATCCTTAAGGACACTTGACCCACTAAAAATTCTAAGACACCAACGACACCTCAACGAGATGACTGATGATGAAGATGAGGCCCATATGCTTGGTCTAATCCTTTCAAGGGATGCGGATGCCACATGGGCGCGGGCTTAACCCAAATACTCGTATGTTTGCAAATAATGAAGCTTTTGTGTTGTTGGCCCGCTGTCGATTGGCCTTCGAACATTGCAAGAGCGCGGATGACGTCACCAGCAGAGCACACACACACACACACAGTCGAATATATATATATATACATATATATAGAGCCGAATTGAATGTCACGCCCTGCCTTTCAGGTTAAATTTAGCCAAACGAGAGGCGAGAACCCATAATTGCCGGAGAAATGTAAAAATAAAATGCCAAAATCAGCAGCACCTAATAGGCCGATAGCATTTGGGCCTTCAGCATTTAAGAGGCTTACCACACCACACGCGCCCCATTAGACCAAAAAAAAAAGAAGGAAAACCCCTCAAAAGTAGGCAACGAAAATGGGCCAAACGACAAATGTTTATGGCCCAGTTGGAGTCAGAGGCCAACAAAAACAGCGTTTGACAAATGAGCGGATGAAAAGGGCAATTTTAATTGTTAAGGGGGCCTCGAGGGACTCGGGGGCGGCAGATAGTTAAAAGCTCTTTGGGGTGGGGTACTGGGGAGGGATATGAACTTTGAGTGTTATGGAAGAAATTTCCAATTGAAAACGGAATGAAAATTAAAAATAAGTACAGATATAAATAAGTACAGGAAATTTTTAAACAGAAATAGTACCCAAAGTTTACTGGAACACAAATTTTAACTTACCTATATTTTGGTTATATCTTTGTTAACAACTACTTTACCCATTTGTTGGTTTCTTATTAAACATCTTAACTTATAGTGTGTATTATCAACAACTATTGTTTTAGGATTATATATTGTTTTTATTCATATTTAGTGTTTTTTTTTTAATTTTATTAAATGGTTTCATACCTTCATTTTTTTCACGTTATTATTTTGAACCTTTAACTTTTGGAAATTCTCTTAGAAACAACATTTAACTTAGGACTGTATGTAACTTGGGATTTAAATACATAATTATTTTCCTATTTTAAATTACTTAAAATAAGTTATTGGTATATCCTTGTAGAAAAATGGAAAATTTTGAAATTATTTTCAAACCTTACTATCTTAAAAAATAATATTAACAATGCTTAAGTAACCAATCCTTGTTAAAACTAGCACCCAAAACACTATCAAAAACCAAGCAAAATAGAGGAAAAGTTCCAGGTCCAGGCAAATCCTGTCCAAGTCACGCCCATTTGTGGGGTCAGTTGAAAGGATTACCAGAGTCAGACGCACACGCACACAAATATCACGCACTCACACACACTCACTCAGCGGCATTTATAAAAGCTGGGTGTGTATCCTTCAACTGCAGTTTAAATGCCAAATCAGCGTAAATTGTTCGTCTAGAGGGGGCTTACCGCACCACGGCTGAGGATACCGAAGGGGAGGGGTGAGGACCCAGGGTGTCCAAAGGACCTTTGGCTTCTGCAGAATTTGTCAAACCGCTGTTGTTGTTGTTGTTTCTGTTGCTGCCTTTCGTAATGTCACTCGACGGCAACTGCAATGTCCTTGCAGCCCGAGTTCATTGGCCCAAAACACCGAGCTGCAGCCTGCAGTTGCGCTCTCCGGCGAGAGAAAGTAACCAGAGATTTGGTAGTAAGAGAGGCGAGAAAAATGGAAGGATGTGGGAGAAAGTAGTAGTAGGGACTGCGAGGATGGGTGAAAGTAGCCATGAGAGAGAGATAAAGAGAGAGCGGGCAGGAAGGCCGGTTCAATGCACGGCAAGTAGGTTATAGAAAGGCAAAAGGCCGGCCCTATAAGAAGCATACCTATGACGTCATTGTGAAAGCCGCACAAACACACACACACACACACTCACAAGGAGAAAGGTGGTAAGAAGAAAGGGAGAGAATCTGCATTTAAGTAAATGTGTGTGTTTGTGTGAAAAGGCGGCTTAATTTTCAGTTGAGAAAACAGAAATATGCCAACTTTTACTTTTAGACTTTGGCCCAACTTTGGCCTACCCCAATTTTCCAACCCCCTCTTCTAAGCCCCCTTTTTTTACCCCTGCCCATGTGTGAGTGAGTGTTTCTGCTGGTGTGAATACACCCATCCATGTGAGTGAGTCTATAAAATGGGCACAAGGGCATTTAATGCGGCATTTATGCTGACAATTTTTTTTCTCACACAATAACGTAAGTGCGCATAAAACGAAACAAAAGAAACGCATGTAAATATCGTAGTATTAGGATAATATGCAAATCAATGAGAGCACGTTTTAGATACAATTTTTCCATTTACATCTCATTTTAAAATGGTAAACAGAAATATAAAGAACCAACCAAGAAATACAACATAAAAATCTCAAAAACCATATGTGTATTTTTAGCACCAAAGATCTTGATAAAATAAAAAATTAAAATAAACATTAAAATTACATCTAATTATTAAGAGTTTATAAAAAACTAAAGATAAAAATCTCAAATTTAATTTTTCAACACAGGATCAGGAATAACCTATGTTTATAAATTTAAGAAAGGGGAAAATCAAAGCAGAACTGTAGATAAAGATAAGGCTGGACATTTAAAAATGGTAAAGGTAAATATAAGGAACCAACCCAAAAATACAACATACAATTCAATAAAACCATTGTTTATTTTCAGCACCAAAGATCATAATAAATTTCTGCAAAAGGCTCTAGTATCCATGTAGTTTTTAAAAGTTTAAAAAATACTATAAATAATAAATTGTCATAAAATTGTACACCAATACAAAAAATAGATTAAGAAAAGGGAAACAATCAAAGGACAACTTTAATAACAATGATTAAGAATCAAAGAAAAGGCTAGACATTCGCATAGACTCATTAGCATACGATTCTAGATCGAAGAAAGAACTACTCACAATAGAGGGGTAAAGAAAAGGCTATGGAGCGAATAAAAAAGGAAGCCAGACAGCTCGGAAAAGCCGGAGACCCAGACGCAGAGATACCAGGACATAACAATGAGAGTGCCAGCACCTAGAAGCCCCACACAATAATGGACATCAGACAAAAACATGTGCCATAACAGCAATAATTCGTGTTCACACCTCAGACTGAACTTTAACCCCGGGCGGGATGAAAACCTTAATAAATAACCAAGCCAGTGTCCGCCTAATGGAGTATTCGCAGGAATTTTTACAAATAACCATAAGCCTGACAGGAAAACATTCCGTTCTGTCATGCGCTAATTATGAGCAGCCTACCTTTTGACGAGCCCCCCGAGTGGAAATTTTAAGAGTAGAAGCACGAAAATGGGTCTGCCAAACAACACACCCAATGAATAGGCAAATTCTAAAATTTGTTTCAATTGGCACCCTAGGAAAAGTAAGAAAAACTCTTAAGAAAACAGAAAGGGCCCTAACTCTAAGTATAATTTTTAAGATAATTTTATTTTGTTATTTTTATATTACATTTATTAAATTAAATTTTCATATTGTTATTATAAAAATGTAACCGTTTTGGTAAGCATTTTGTTATATATTGCTCAATTATTTCAAGTTTCCATTGCCTTAACCCAAGTGCTGTTGACTCTATTCCCACATCACTTAAAAATACACATACCCTTTGCCCAAGGAAGACCCATAAAAATGAACAAAAATATTCCATTTGCTTGAGGGAAAACAGGAGGCAACAGAAAATGGCTTTCCACCATGGAAAATCCTTGAGAAACAAAAAAGGAAAAGCGCGCACCAAAATTGAACGGAAAAGTACAACGTGAAATTTGCATGAGACAAATGTGGAAAAGTACATCCAACTACTTCGTGGGTTGAGCACAAGAAATGGGAAATAGGAAAAGACGAGTGGAAAAGTTCAAAGGATGGTAAAGCCAAATAAATCTGGCTCAAATCTACAAGTTATTGGGCATACAAAATGGATAGGGCCTAATAAATGTAGACCAAAAAATCAGACATCGCAAAACATGTTTGGATAAATCTGGATAATACTTGTGATAATAATTTTAGATTTCTATTAATTAATCATCACATTTAATTTATCTACTTTTTTATTTATTGCTTTAAATACTGTTAATGGCCTGAGTAAAATAAGATACATATTTGAGTACTAAACATATAAAATAAATCGAGATTTTGATTCACAGCTTGTGGCTATCACAATCCATCATTGCGGTTGGCATCCGCACATTGCACAGCATCCTTGGAAACTTCCGGATAGTCCACGTCCTTCTCAAAAAGATAGCACTGCAGCCAGTTGGAGTCCCCGAATTGACCCGAGAAAACGGGCTGCCAGTTCCAGATGAGGTGGCGCAGCTTTACTTTCGGGCTATCAAATCGATTTCTGTTCCTACGACAGATGTCCACAAATCGACTACTGAATATCTGGGACAACTGGATTCCCGAATAAGAATGTGCCAAGTGGCAGAGATCCTTTGAGGTAATAAGCTGCTCGAAGGCAGCGCGTTCCGGATGAAACTGGCAACCAAAAATGGGAAACCGCCGGTGCTCGACAATCGTGATGAATTCCAGTCCCGCAGAATCCTTCTGAGTGGCCAGAGGATGCCAGTCCTTGGCAAGCCCACAGGTCTCCAAACTCTCTTTGGTAATACAATAGCGATGTTGGTGACAGGCAAAGGGATGATTTTCCATCTCCCTGGCCGCGGAATCCCCTAAATTCTCAAACAATTTGGATTCCTGGTAGTCCTCAGTTAGTTTAATGGGCATGGCCTGCCTCATGGGCTGGCAATCGGTGCGAATCTTGGGCTCTTCGGCGGCATGGACGAGGAGCAACTGGAAGCCCAGACAAGTTCCCCAAATGGGGAAGTATCCACCGGCATCATCCTGCCTTCTCGCCCGTTGATTTCGCTCCATGGCCAGTTGGTAAATGTGCTCGGCACTCCTCACACAATCGCTGGTCAGATCCGGACGGGTTTGCCTATCAGCCTCGTCGATGAAAACCGCTCCCCCGGGCAAAAGGATGCCATTTATCTGTCCCATCATCGATTCATAGTAAGCTCGTTCCTTACCGGTCCTGTAAGGTAATTGATCATAAGGTTTTCCTTACTTTTCATATGGAAGCTAATGTATTTTTAAGAAACAAGATACATATTTAAATCAGTTTTTCGAGATACCTTTTAATAGCCAATTTTCATTTCATTAGAAACTATTAGTTCAGAGAAAGGGGAACGTCATTAAAATTATTCATAAAATGAAAGCGAAAGCAAAAGCAAAAGCGTTTGCCAACCACAATAAATAAACCTTAAATATTAGCACTTTCTTGCCCCATTCTTTAATCGCATTGCATTCTGCCAGAATACCTTGGCACCCTGCCCAATGAGATAATGAATTCTCTTTGCTCCCCAAGCGTTTGTCATTTAGTTTGTTTGTTTATGCAATTTGTTTATCATTTAAGTGGCGGGGCTGTGACCCTTTTTGGCCATATTTATGAACCAATGACTGGGCCAGATCAATGCACAATCCCGATCATCTTTTGTTTTGGCTCCCAATTTATACGGAAAATTGAAATCAGATAAATCGATTCTTAACCCTAGATTTTCTTTTAACTATATGGAAAACTACAACTGCAGAGCTCGCATTTTGCATAAGTTTCTTATTTCTAAAATTTTTCACTTGTTTCTGCATTGGTAATTGGTAATTCGTGCATCACTTTTTAGTTATTACTTCTTAAATTAATTTTCTTTACTTCGAAACTGTTGCACTTAGCGAATATGATATTTAATATCATTTTTATTAATAATATCATTACTACTTACCAAATGGGCACCACATGGGCACCGGATGCCTCCAGAAATTTGACATAGGACGCGGCTATATAGCTATAGTACTTCCTACCGAAATTGTGCTGCAGTTTGGTGGCAATATCGATGCACAAAACGCCAATGGTTGGTGTGTCGCTCAGAGATGCGTTCTCCGCCATCGTCTTCTTGGCACTTCCGACTACGGCCAACTGAAGAGCCGTATACAAACTTAATGTAAACAAACCTAGCAAAATGCAGGGTCACTTGGCAGATTTTCGATAGCCCCAAAACAAATGCAAAAATTTAAATCGGATTAATAAAATTATTGGCCTACTTTTGGGGATGTGGTGGGACTTAAATAGATTTTCCTATGCGGAGGTTTTACAGAAAACATTTAGGGCGAAATCCGAGCGATACTTGTATTGAATCTTACGTACATTTCCCCGAATTTTGCTGAAAGAGTTTTCTGTGATGTCCCCGATGCTGTTTTTTCTAAATAAATGTTATTTGAAACAATTTTAAAATCTAACTTTATGATGCTTTCCCAATCATCCCTTTTCATTGTTAATAAAGAATATCCGATACAAATTTTTAATTTGTAAAAAATGTTTTATTCATAGTTATCATATTATTTGTTTCATAGCAAATCAAAAACTTTAGTCACCAGTTCCTGAGCAAATACGTATATTTATGTGCCAATCTTTATAGATATTGTTGCTACCCCAAAAAGACATACAATGAATTGGTAATAAAAAAAGCTTTAATTTTTCATTTTAAGATTGGTTGTTATTGTTTGATTTCAACATTTTATTCGCGTTTGAAGTTGAAAAAAAACAACCGAATATTAATGGGATCCACTGTAAATAAAAAAGATATCTTCAAAAATAAGGACCGCTCTATATTTAATCCACTTATCAAATAATCTCTGCTTGGGAACTACTACTAATTGAGTCACGTTACAATATCTTTTAATTCTTTTCTGGTACGTCAATAATTTGAACCACAATCACATTGATAACTTCAGAGATAATGGTATTGAATCGATCAAAGAATATGAAAACTTAATTCCGTATATAGTACATCGAGTGCGTAAATGAATTCCGTTTCTAGACATGATAATCCACGCTTACTTGACAAAAGTTCGTGCAATGCAAACTATTAATTAATTGATACGATCAACAGAGTTAGGAGTAACCCACTAAAGAGCGGTAGAATGGTGGAAGTACCACCACCTGGTTCAATGATGGGGATATAGGGGCCACTACTGCCACCATCGCCATCGCCGCCCTCATCGGGAATTTCTGGAATTTCCATTTCGGCATTGGTGAACAAATATTGCTGGATGTACGAGGAACCCAAAATTGATGTATACTCCGGCTTATAGTTGTAGATTAAAGTCCTGGCCTGTTCCGTGGCATTCTCAAAGCTCTGATTACTCTTTCTAGCCTCACTCACGAAGAAATCGGCGAAGAATTGACCACTTAACACAGCAGCCGCGGTGTGGGGAATACTCGTTTTGGTAAACTCATACATCGGCTTCTCCGGATGGAATTGTACACCATAGAAGGGGTACTTTTTGTGCTCCATAGTGGAAATGAACTCTTTGCCATTTAAGTCTCGATTTAAGGATATAACCCGCCAGGTTTCGTTTAGCAGATCCCTTTCAAAGTCCTGTTCCGTATAGCAATACTGATGCCAATGATAAGTTACGTTCTCCTTGATCATAGTCGTCACAACATCATCACTAATGGAGGCAAATAGACGGCTCTTGTTGTAGTCTAGGTGAAAGTAAATATTTTTAGAATGTGCAACTAGGACATGTTATATATTTTTAGTCATACCTTCTTTAAACTCCATTGGCAGGGCAATTCCCTTTCCCTGGCAGTCAATCCGATGTTCAGTGCCATTGGCCAGTTTGTAAACCAGCAGTTCCATGCCAAGACAGGTTCCCCAAACCGGCATAAAGATTCCCTGATCATTTTGTTCGATGGCCAACTGGATAAGATGTTCGCCTGCATCGGCGTAACCATTGCTCTGATTAAACCAAGTGGCTCCGCCGGGCAACAAAACTCTGTCAAAACATTAATAAATTTAGTTGCGGAAAGTTCCTTGAATTCATATTTATACTTGCCCATTTATCTTGTGCATGAGATCTTCATAGTAGCTGCGATTGCGACCGATCCTGTCGAGGGTTTAAGAAAATTGTTTATTAAATGATTTCATGTAATCTTATCAATACAGCGCAATTTCGGTCATGTACTATAGATACACGTGTGTGAAATTCATACTACGAATAGTTGATGCCACCCTATATAACTTATCTTGGCTTGGTGAAATTGTGTGGCCACGATAAGATCTATCAATCTGTCTGCTCACTCACCAAATCGGCACAACTCGGGCTCCAGCTCCTTCCAGATACTTCACATACGAGGCGGCTATATAACTAGTCTTGTTGTCAAAGTGCCGCGAGATCAATCCACCGGTGTAAACCTCCTGAGTGAGAACCCCTATGATGGGTGTAGAGATGTCTGCTGAGGCGATCAGCAGAGATCCAATGAGGATCAGCAGGCTGGGCAAGAGTTTCTGCATTTTTGTAGGATCTTTCTTCCTTTCTTCTAGATAGTTCTTACTAAGTCTTTGTTAACAGTTTCTTAATCCAAAGATAAATGTATTTCTCTTTGAGTGATTTGTTATTCTTTTTAAGTATTTTGAATTGCAAGATTACGGCTTTAAGATATTATATTAATTGTAATATAAATTAATATTTAAAATTGTATTTATGTATAGATAAGCGTTTCCATACGTTGTAAATTATTATGTATTTACAAAGATTTCCATTTGGTGATAGAGGTATTTTTAGGTTTGGTTTATAGTCTTAAAGAGGTATTGCTGCGTAGAAGCGTTTCACAAGTATTTGGTATCTATAGCAACCTCCTTTACCAAAATAAATCTTTAGTTTCCGAAGTGTCCGTTTGTTTTACATATACCTTATCAGGTGGTATTGATTATTTCAGACGTATTTCTTCTGTAATAAATTAAACCGAAGGATAGTTCCTTAGTTTTGCTGCACTTGTCCGGCCTCCAGAAAAATTTCCCAGCCAGAAGTCTTGGCTATTCCAATCACCATCACCAGTTAATAAGAACTGTCCGCTGGGGCAACAAGCGATTCAAATTTATATAAACCGTGCCGTCTTTTCCGCCTATACACATGTCTGCCAGTCTGTGTGAGTGGGCATGAGTTTCCTATATGACAATGTATTCGTTTCTAGGTTCTTCAAGGGGGTCTCCCCCTAGCAACTTGAGTCCAACAGATAGTGCGGCGATTAATTGATTACATTATTTCCAAAGTATTGACCGTGGCACGGGGTGCTCGATGGAAAAGGGGGAAATACTCCTAGGGATCCCATCGAAATCTGGATAAAAACCTGTTCTTGTCATTTGGCCACTAATTAACTAATTGCATCGACCAGAAATGCTGTATCGCGATTTTTATTCACATTATAAAACAAACGAAGTCAGTGTTATTGTTTACTAAACAGCTGATAGATAGCAACAGGTGGACTTGTGTGCGTGATCAGAACCGATAGGCAGATCGATTAGTGATTACTCAGCTGCCCAGCAAACTTTGCTGCTTCTGTTTGATGCTGTTCTGAATACTCAGGAGGTACTTCATCTCCACAAGGGTTCCCTTGACTCCTTGAAGGTCTTTCTTTTCGAACAGGGAGTTTAACTTCTGGGACATTCCCTCCAGTTCCTTGATGAGTTGGGCATTTAAGTCCTCCAGAGTTTTGGTGTCCTCTGCATCCTCCACCTCTTCATTCCGTTCCATCATGGCCATAAGGAATTCCTTGTTAAGGGCGCTATTATCCTGGGGCATTTGTTCGCCCTCCAGTTGGAGGAGGTACTGACCACGTTCTATGGGAGTGGCAAGAGTCTTGTAGGCCTTGTTAATCAGGGAACTCCAATCCGCGGAGTTGGTTTGCTCGCGGGATGTTCTGAAAATTTAAAGATTGTGCATATTGATTGAGTTATATCACTAAGTACTATACCCACTTATTACTATATTTATCAGGATGCACTATGGTCTGCAACTGACGAAAACTTTTTGTCAACTTCTGAGACTCCAATGAAAACTGGGTGGGAAAGCTCAGCAGTTTGAAGTAATTCTACAAAACCTTATGGTTAAATAAATTAAAGAAATTTGGGATATATACTCACTATTTCTGCATCAACATCCTGCAAGTGTCCACAGTCAGAACATATCATATTCTGTCTCAAAGCCGATTTATTTTGGCAATTCCAACAAGTCGGTGAGGACTCAACTGAAAGTTGTCGTATTTCAGGCAAACGAAAACGTTGAAATGGCACTACATTTTTGGCAATTGGTGTATAATTGGTTGCCCTCACAGCGCTTTTAATGCCACTAATTACACCTCGCATTTTTAACACTAAATTTAACTATTTTATTCACAATCGAAACTTTTTAAAATTACACAAGCTGACAAAAACAATGAACAGCTGTTTTTAAGCTAGTGTGGCAACCCTCTTGAAATAGGGTTGTAGGGTTTAGAAAATATTACATTTTGCTTACCTTACTTTAAAATATTTTAAATGTTTTTTTGAGAAATACTTAACAATAATAAGATAATAGTTAAATAAAAAACGAATATTAAAACACTCTCAATCAATTTTACGTAAACCCCTTTCACAAATAGACTGGCAAAGAGCAATTCACCGTACAAACCTTAGTTAATTCCAGTTTAATGTACATAAGTATAAATTTATTCCAGGATCTGGCTTATAAACTAGGATTCAGGTGGCATATCCTTGAGTTACATGGAGTCTTTGCGGTAAGCGCGATAGCTATTCATCTCGTTGGGAAAGGTTTTGTACAATTCCAGCAGCAGGTTTGACTTGAACTTCTTGAGGCTCTCGATCTTGCCCTTGACCTCCTCGTTTTTGGCCAGGGCCTTCTCCACGCAATCCTTGGTGTACAGCTGGGGATTCTTATCCTGGTCGATGTAGTCGAAGAACACTTCAAAAGGCACATAGACGTCCTGCACTTGGGAACGGAGCTTGTCGATTTCCTGGAGGCCGGTTACCAAGCTGTTGCTGAAGGTGGATATATTTTAGTATACAAAAACATATATCTTAATCATAATTTATCTATTTTTTACATCTTTTGGTTGAGAACGTTCTGACCCTGTGGCTGAAAATCGCTGACAATGATGCGGATCTGGCGCACATTCTCGATGAACATCTCCAACTGGGTCTCAAGGTTCTCCAAAGGAGCAGACATTTTCAATGATGTTTGACGGTTCCTGTTCCTTGTATTTCCTTTATATGTTTGTTTTTCTTTAGTGATATTTTAGTTTTCTTCTCCGTTCTTCTTCTTCTCCAAAACACCGAGCGACCAGGGCTACTGTAACGCACATATGAGTATTGGATTTATCGATAAAAATAATATACTACGGTCACACTGCTTGACGCACACTTTTTTGTTAAAAAGTGTGATTTAATTTTTATACAAGCATATATCTCGGGAATTGCTTAATTTACTGCCATAAATATATTAAAATTAAGAAGTCAGAATGTCGGATGGTGATTTGGATGCCTTACGCGCCCAGCGCATGTCCCAAATGCAGTCGCAATTTGTAAGTAAAGTATTTTGATAGGATCCAAACCGGCTAGATTCCTCTAGAGAATTCTATAAATAACCATAACTTGGAGAAAATATTTGATACCAAAATTAAAAAATAATTTAGATATTAAAAAATTCTTAGATTTGGTTACTTTGGTTATTTTTAATTCTTTATAAGAGAGGTCTGAAAGCCCCTATGAGTCATCTTGAAAGGCTGAGACACCTGTTCCTTTAATGGGCCATCCTTCAATGACCTTTCACCCTTTCCTCCTTTTTTAGGGCGGCGGCGGTGGCAATGATGCGGAAAAACAACAAGCCCAGCAGGAGCAGATGCGCGCCCAGGAGGAGATGAAGCACTCGATATTATCTCAAGTTCTGGACCAGCAGGCCAGGGCAAGACGTGAGTGCATTGAACCCTTCTAGACCTGATAAAAATTCTCTAAGGATCACTTTCTTTTCACCACAGTGAACACCCTCAAAGTCAGCAAGCCGGAGAAGGCGCAAATGTTCGAGAACATGGTCATCCGCATGGCCCAGATGGGTCAGGTGCGTGGAAAACTCGATGATGCCCAGTTTGTGAGCATCCTCGAGAGCGTCAATGCCCAGATGCCGCAGGCCAAATCCTCCGTGAAGTACGATCGCCGTCGGGCGGCCATCGACAGCGATGATGACGAGGACTACGGCTGCTGATCCATCCGAAATCCCGCCCAACTTCTAATTTAAGTTACCCCCGCTCTTCGCATCCGCTAAATCATGTTTATTACTTTTACTAACTTAAAACGATAAAAAAAACAAGAGAATCAGACGCACGAATGCGAATGGATTTCTTTGTGTCAAATGGCGGATCCTTAAGCGGTTTGGAAGTTCTCGCCCAGCGGATATAGGACTAGATTTGGCTTACATTTATATGCGGTAGAAAAGTTGATCTAGGGGATGGGAGCGGGACCTGCTACGACTCCTCATGTGAGATTTTCTTAGTTTCGTACTCCTTTTGGTTTGCTATCATTTTAATTTTTGTTTTAGGTTCCAATGACCTTCCTTGGAAATTCGCTTCGAGATCATCTTATTTACTTTCTCCATCAGGCATTCCCTCCTATCCTTTTACTCCTTTTTCTCGTGATCTTCATCTGAATCCTCTTCAGTGACCAAGCAATCGCCACAGAAAATGGAGTACATAATGAGCGAGAGGAATCCCAGCGGCAGGCCGAAGATAACAGTGGTCAGCACGGGATTTCCCAGCCACATATCCCTTAGAGCTCTTCGAACCTCGAAAAGAGCACGATTCAAACGCACGAAATACGTGTCTCCTCCATAGGCAACCGCACTTTCGTTACTGATGGATTCCAGGAACAGATGCAGTGCCTGCGGGGTCATCTGCATGGGATCATCGTCGGGTATGAAGTGGTGTTGAGTGCTCGAATTAATGGCTATCAAGTGCGGCGTAGGCAGCTGGTCCAGAATGATGGAATGTGCAATGGATGGCTCACCGATCTAATATGTAAAACTTCCATTAGCTCATAAAAGACGATATATATGATATACCGCTTACCCATCCGAATTGGAACTTCTCGTGATATCGCGCCCTGTGTTTCCTTATCACGCCCTCGACCATGTCCCGGAACTCCAGCTCATGGGTGGCTATCTGATTGAGCTTATCCTCCTGCACCACAGCCAGAACCAGATACTTGTTAGTCTTCAGCAACTGATGGATGTTAAACCGCGTGACCTTCGGGAAGAGCGTGAATCTCTCCACGTTGACCCACTGGAAAACGGTTTCGTTCACTTCATTGGGGTCCATTTCATGGGCCAAGTGCCCGTGCGGATAGAAGTGGTGCTGTTCCTCCTTGTAGACTATAACCGCTGGCAGTTTCTCAAAGTCAAAGTGCTGGGCAGCAATATCCTCGCTGGTGGCGTAGAAGAATCCATGCTCCTGGTATCCCTCGGCGGCAGCATAGTATGTGTCCCATACCACGCCCTCCTGCTGGCCCACGAAGATAAAGAAGATCGTATGGGATCCCTTCAGCATGTCCACACTCTCCGTTCGCGTGACTAGCTGAACTGGAGGACCAGACATCCTCAGAGCATAGTCCACCAGTTCATCACGGCCACGATCTCCGTTGTAGGTGAACTCCATGTTGCCCTTGATGAACATGATGGTGGGATAGCCACGAACCTGTAAGATAGGATGTATTTAAGATGTTTCTGTTACATGTTACATTTAGATGGAAACCCCACCTTGAACTCCTTTGCTGCCGCCGGATACTTGGTGCAATCCAGGCGACCCACACGCACATTGGTGGCATGAAGTGCTTGGGCCACCAGGGCGAAGATGGGCTCCGTTTTCTTGCAGTAGCCGCACCATGGAGCGTAGAACAGAACAAGCCACTGGCCCTCGTGCCTCACATCGATGAACCGGTCACTGAGTTCCAGAACCCTCGAGGAAATCGCCGTTGAGCCCAAGGTCACAAGGAGAGCTGTCGAAATGGTAAATAATTAAGTATTGCCTGGGGAATCCCTCCTTATTTATTTACCACTGAGGAGGCAGAAGGTCCACACAGAAGTTGGCGACATCTTTGCAACTGCTTTTATTTGTACTTCAAAGTGTGAATCTATCGCTTCTCCTCTGCTATATCATGCTTTATGATCTCTTATTTGTTCATTAACTTAATTTAATTAGTTGGTTGGTTTAATTTTCAGCTGGAAATTATTTTCCTTCAAACCGCTACAACAACAAAAGAAAACATTTGCGAAAAACCACCCCCGCCTTTAGAGTGACCATTTGCTAGAGGTATTAAAATACTGTATTTAAATGATAAGATACAAGATACACTTTAACCCTTTGGGTTAATAAGCCTTGATATTAAATTCTTTTCTATAATGTAGTAACATTCCTTTGTAATTATTACGCTTAAAGTAATTCAGCTTTTTGATTAAACAATTAGTATTAGTGTGTAGTTTTACAATTTAAATTTTTTGATTTACTAGTACTTAACAGTGGCAGCATAAAGGTTAAGTTAGTATATTTTCCAGTGAATGGCCGCACTCCCGGCTTGTTTACTTCGCGCACTCGACCATCTGGCAACTCTAAGGCACACACGTGCAACTGCAGAGGAATTTCGTTTCAGTTTTTATTGCTTAGTTTTACGTGATTTAATAATTGTTTTAACTAAACACAATGACGAATATTGCCGAGAAGGAACCCGAGGGCGGGGGCAAGCATCGGTTGCACAATGTTCGTTTCTACACGATAAAACCACAAGGCATTCTCAGCATGGCCTACAGTAAAACGAGCAAGTGCCTCGCTTTGAGTCGGTAAAATATGGAAAAAAAAATGATAAACTAAAGATAACTATGCAGATTTCTAACAATTACACTTCCCTCCAGTCAAGTACCCGTTATAGAGCTGTGGAACTTGGAGCACACCCCATATTTGGATCTGGTAATCCACCTGCAGCCCGATTCGCCAGTGGAGTCTTTAGCTTGGGCGGGAAATCGTCTGTTTTCGGTGGATCTTACGGGAAAACTGATCGAGTGGGATCTGACAAAGCTAAAGCCACGTTACGAGCACTCGCCCACCGGCAATGCCCTCTGGAGTCTCGACGTAAACCCCGCTGAAACGGAAATAGCCGTGGGTTCCGAGGAGGGACACATCAACATCCTGAGCATCGAGAATGACGAAATCACCTATAAATCCCTGTTTAACAAACAAAGTGGCCGCGTTCTCTGCCTTAAATTCGATAAGACAGGAACGAAACTAGTGAGCGGAACCGAGGGATTTGTTCGCATTTGGAATGTCCTCAAAGGAACCACGCTACACACCATGACTCTTATCAACAATGATGTGATTGTCTGGTCCCTGCAGGTCCTGTCCGATAATACGATTATTGCCGGCGATTCGGCGGGATATGTGACGTTTTGGAATGCTGAAAGTGCTACACAGATCGATTCCTCACGAGTTCTGGATAAAAACGTATTCGCCCTGGCTGTAAATGAAACGGAGGATCGATTGGTCTGCAGTGGAATGCAGCCACCGCTAATCCGGCTTTTCAACAAGACTCAGATTAGGCGGGAGGAATCCACCAGCGAGCGTTGGATCAAGTTTCTGCAGCGCGATGTCCACAAACACTATGTGAAATCCCTGGTGCTTATAGATGGTCAGATTTTCTCCGGAGGCTTGGATGGTATATTGACTGTTACTTCCAGTGAAAAGTTGCGGGCAAAATTTTCGCAGCATGCTCCCTTCCTCAAGGGATGCGTTGCCTCATTGGCTATCAGCGAAAAGCTTTTGCTCCTACGTTATCCCAAAAGCTTGCACCTGTGGCGCTTGGGCTCAGCGGCTTCGGAAGACAAGGATAAGATAACAGGATGGGCACAGTCACTTGGTACCTCGGAAGAACTTCTTTTGGAGCAACCTCCCCAGAAACTTCTTGAATTAAATGTCAAAGGGCCAAACTTCATACAAGCTTCAGCCATTTCACCCGATGCAAACTGGATTTGCTACTCTACCTTAAATGAACTTCGTATAAGGCGTTTGCAGAGGGATCCTCTGCAGGTGCATCGTCTGGTGGAGGATCTCCCCAAGGAACTTCAACCAGCAAGTCACATCATATTCACTAAGCAGGAAAGACTAGCTTTGCTGCATCCTCAAAGCAATCATCTTAGCTGGTTTGACTTAAAAGAAGATCGCGTTGTCTTCGAATATAGCGTCGACTTGAGTGATCATTGCAAAAATACCATAAGCCATCTAGTAGTTTCCTCAGGTGGCGATTACCTTGTGGCAGCAACCTCAGACCAGATAATATCGGTTTGGAACCTACATGGGAAGCAGTACAAGCACCTGCTGAATCTGCCAAGACACCAAGCGCGTACCACAGCTTTATCAATGCACGAGGATCTTCCCCGTATGGTGGTGGCCTACGCCAATGGCCAGATAGTGGAGTACGATCTGGTCGACCGGAAATTTACCTGTGAAACTGAAGAGTACCTGATACCGGGCACCCGGTACTATTGCATCAGTGGTATCAGCTTGGATCCAAGGAATCCCAATGTGTTTCTGGTTCACAATGAAACAACCTTGTATGTTTTGGAGAGGAATGACAATTTTGAGCCAAAGGAGGAAGTGATCAAGAGCAAGACGAAGAAATTATCAAAGGAAAAACCCTCCTCAATTGCTGAAAATTCAAAGAGTTTGACCCTTAAGACAAAGCTACTTCGGCAGGTAAGATTGGGAGTTACTTCAAATCGTTTTTGTTATTTATTCTAAGCCAATTTGCTCGTATAGTATTAAAAAGAGATATAAAAGTTAAATGTAAGCTCGGGGACTAGACATTTTTAACGCTTTCCGACCATACATAGCTGCACTAAATCCTATATTTCACCCATTATTTGCAAACATTTTCTCACCTCTATTTCCTCTTTGGCAGCACCTGGTGCACGTGTCTCGGCTGAGCCCTAACGAACTTGTCAACGTCAGCATTTCGACAAACAATCTGTTGGCTCCGCTGCCGACGCCGTTCCAGCGGAAGAAGTTCGGTACCAAGTAAACTGATTGCTGGAGGATGAGGATGTGGATGGTCTCCACTTAGGTTTACCCAGTAGTTTCCACTTAGTTACCAAATAAAATGAAAAGTAGAAAACAATGGTGGAATGGATTTTTGCGAAGGCTTGCGCGGCTCTGCATTCGCACGGAAATTTGTCAAATGTATTGCCAAAAATTTGTCTCCGCCGTCTCGTCGTCGACGACGACGACAATGTCTCCTGGCCCCATTCCCGTGATTTTTTCACAGAGGGGTCTACGTGGATTGTGCAA